TGTGTTGTCTTAGGCTTGCTGGTTGGTCGTAGCCACAGAAGATTCACCTTTTTGCAGCCCCGCGGAGGCAACCAACTCGGATGCTTTGTGTTTGTCTCTTTCTGTTTCCAGCAGGCCACCAGGCCAAGCTTTCACGGTTCTCCCAGACCAATGTTAACCCCGAAGAATAAGCCTGGCGGATGTTACTAGGTTTCTCCAAGGTGATCCAGATCCTCCAAACTGGGTGGTGCCCTACAATTGAAATCAACCACGAGTTTATAGAAGGGTTTATGTAAGGAAAACCCTCGGGGTGCCCGTACCCACCACAGAGGTTCATAGAACTTTTTAGAACCTTTCGACAGAACCCATTCTCTTCCTAGGAGTGTGAGGCCTCGGTTTCTTCCCTATGCATCGATTGGGCTCGCACTTCTCCTTCTCGACCAGATCCGATATCGGCGAATCGAGGAGTTGCCGGATGGCACCAGCCACGTGGAGCGCATGATCTTCCGGTGCTATGCCTCCCAGCCCTACGCCGGGAGCCCGGATTGCTTCTTTTTGTGGAGGGCGTTTGGGGCGTTTGGGGATTTGGCGGGTTTGGGAGTTTGGGTGTTGAGGATGGAGGGCGGGATGGTTGTGCCACAAAGAGAACGTAGTTGGCAACAATCACAGAGAATTCTATGTTACAGGGCGTTTGATTTGTGGCCACTTGCAGCTGGTACCGTTCCTAACTAAAGGGTCTCCTGACGCGGTCCTGCCCCAAGCCTAATCCAGCTTATGGAGAGTAATTGTCCAACAATAAGGTCCATGTTGTCTCTTTTTTTCTCGGGACTGTCTTCAAGGTTAGAGTTATCTACAGTCTTGAGGGGCTCCTTCTTGCTCTTGCTGATTCAACATGCGCTGTGTCAACAGGAGGCCGCCATTTTGACAGCTCCTGTTCCTTTATGGATACAAGATGAACGCAGGCATACACACAACACGCGTATGTGGGAGTTGTTCAAAAAGGGCGTTAGCTCTCACACTGAGCAGTCCCGAGGCAAAGTACTTTCCCAATGTTGTGGAACCGCGCAAACAAAAACACCGTATGGCGCAGTGCAACAGGCCCCGCCCCCCAATGGCAGAGAATGGCTTGTCCAGCCCAGCCTAGACCAACCTGCTTCTAAAACTTGAAGCAACCAACCATCGTGTTGCCCTTCCGCCTTCTTCGTGGGCCGATCTTGCCTTTATTTGGCCGTTCCTTTCCTTTTTATGTTGCTTTTCTTGTTCTACATGTTCAATCAAGCAGAATAACAAACCGCAGGGCGCGGAAGACGGCGAAAGGGCTATCGCAGAAAGCACCAAACGCCAGATGTTAGAACGAGAAATGAGAACAACCCCCTCCCCTATGAACATCGGACAAAGCTGTCAATGATTTAAGACTTTATATCCCATTAAAAGCTGGAGTTTTAAGAAGGGAAAAAACGAACGAGTGTAAGGCAAGGCGAGGTGAGGTGAGTTGAGCGAGTGAATGGTGAGTGCGGGGAGGAATGGGAGGAGGGAGGAAGGAAGGAAGGAAGGAAGGAAGGAGGACTACGTTTTTAGGACAGGAGAGCCACGCACACAGCCTCAACACGAACCCCCCCCTGGAGGTGACGGTGGCGGCGCACCGCATGACGCGGCGCCACCTGCTGGCCCGAAGCGTTGCGCTGCCCGGGGCGACGCGGCTGTCACTGGTGGGCATCGCAGAGCCGGATGCCTCGGACAAGGCCTTGGGTGTGGGCCGGGGGACGAAACAGCTTCAGGTCTGCCAAAAAGTTAGGTGGCTTTCCTCCACGCCAAAAAAGCGGTACCCTCAAAAAAAGACATCCCAGATGGGTGTATGTTGTGTTGAGGGTTTTCTCATTTGAAATTGCTTCAAGAGAGACCAACAGGAAACAACCCATTTGTTTGGGTCCAGCGTCGTCGGGCTGAATGCTTTGCGTGGGGAAACTTGTGCACTGGGGATGAAACCCTTAAATAAACACCTGCCAACTGATGCGGGATTTTGACCATCCACACTAAATGGGGTATGTATCAACATAAGGGAACACTCAAAAATCGTAGTTTGCCTTTGGCTTCCCTTGAAAACCAAGGTGAGACGGGAGCCTTCGAAAAAGAAGCCCAAATAGCAAATATGTGTTGGTTTTCCCAAGAAACCCTCAAGTTTTCAGAGCACTCATTTAGAGCCCAGGAGAGTCGGGTTGATCCGTTTGAGATTAACTCATTGCGCAAATGTTAGGATTTGCTACTTGACAAGTGTTGGTCTCCTACCAAATGGCAACGGATTCCTCTTTGAGGTATGCCAAACTTGTCCTAAAGGGGGCAAAGGGAGCACCCTGCCAGCGCTGGGTTGGTCTAGTACCGTCACTGCCCTTACGAAAATGATGATTAGCACGATGCTGAAGTGCTTGGTTTAAGGTTGAAGGGGATCCCCTATACCGGTGTTCCTTAAAAACAACTCAAAAAGGGTACCCTCAACCAAATGTGTCATACCTCCTGAAACCCTTTTTTAGGCTATCACGGGAAGACAAGACAAGTCATGCAAAACTAGCTTTCCTTTGAGCTCCAAGTCATGTGAAACAAACAAATGGGATGTTGCGAATACGGCTATGGATGCTCTCCAACAGTTCTTGCTTTTCTTTGTTCCCTTTAAAGCTGTCCAAACAAGGGTGCCCTCAACAAAAGGGTTGCTGCCCTTTTTGTTTGACTCGGAGCCCAGCAAAAGTGAGTCCGCCAAAACAAGGCGCCCGCTTGGGAGCTGAGGGGAGTCATTGTGAAGGGGTCTAAAGACGCCTTGCCTTTTGCCCATTGGTTGGTGGAACAAACAGAGGGGACGACCTCAAAAGCCCTCAGATCAAGACATATTGGTTTGATCATTTTTGAACGGGGCTCATATCATTGGTCGTCATGTCGTGAATATGACAGATGCCCTTGCGAGGGATTGCAAAGGTGCAGGTGGGGGGGTTGAAACTGCAACGGCGTTGTCGAGGGCCGCCATGTTTGACCAAGTGGTGCCCCGCTTAACATTGCATATATCCGGTGCGGTTACATGGTTGTGGGGTGTGGAATGGTACGAGGCCACTGTGGGTCTCATTGCCCACGTGTTTGTTTTCTTGTTTGTGTAATCGAGCACGAGAAGCAGCTGGAGGGTTGCCAACAAGACCCTTGGTGAGATTGCATCTTGGTTTGCCCGAGGGTGCCCAAGATCCATCTTTTTTGGGTTTGAATCTCAAAGGGTGTGGGGTTCCCTGATTTAGCGGCGCCCTGTGCTGATTTTGGCCCTTTGCCGGAGTTCCTCCTTGAGGTCCCACACAAATGGCGTGTGCGTGGCTAGGACCAGCCAGTGCGCATAGATTGGGAGTACGACGCCATGAGGAAGCCGGAGTTCGATCTGGAAACAGGATGGAATGCCCTGGTCAAGGACCCGCCGAGTTTAAAATTTAGGGTTTGGGATGTTGGCTTTTGGACTTTAGGGTTTCAGATTGTGAGCTTGGACTATCCAGGGCTGCTTCAAGGGCTGCTTCCAGCCAATAATGTTGTATGATCCTTGGTGGCTTCCTTTTGAAATTGAACAACAACGAAAAGGGTGTAGTGTCAACTTTGATTTGCCCGCCAGGTTTTCCCCCAATACGACCACCTGCTTTATTTCGAGTCATTCGGTTTGGGTCAACGAGGGGACAAAAAGCTGTTCTTTTGGGGCCTTCGCTTTCGGTGAAATGTTCACATCCAGGAAGTGAACGAGGATTGCGCGGTGATGTGAGGGTGCAAATCGGGTGGACTCAGAATTGCGCTGGACCGCACGAAGCGACGCAGGGTGTACAAATGGCTGGCGTTTGCGTTCGCAGGCATTCGCTGAAGGAAGCAGAGAATTGAAAAGGTGAAGCGTTGCTGGCGCTTTGGAAGGCCCGATTGAGTTTGGTGAAGCCGGCAAGGTGGGGCCCGATCCCAAGAGGGAGGGTTTTTCAGGAAGGGGTCTGCTTCATATTCCACAATGTTTCAGAATTCGCAAAACACCTATTCAACAAACAAGGTGAGACATGGCTCAGTGCATGCTTGTTTTTGGCCAGGGAATCAGAGACGTACTGGGCCGCACTGTTTTCACGGTCTCCGACTGCTCTTCCCAGACACCCAAATGGTATCCTGGTAAGGCTCTTACAGGAATTTCATCCGTGCACAACTACGTCAAGCCAGGAATAAATTCCCAACCCAGAGGGGCAACTGGATTCACTGGGTACATGGTACCTAAACCAAGACAACACACATTTTATCATTGTTCCAGGGGTACCTTTCCCGTTCGTTCCAGGCATCTTTTTTCTGGAAAACCACCCAACACTCTGGGAAACAGCTGGTTTTTGAAAAGAACGATGGTTGAAAAGAATGGGGAATCAACCCCTAGAATTGTAGTCATCCTGTCAAATGGGATAGTTTCCGACATAGGTGGGATGAAACTCCAAACCACGAGTTTCCTTTTGCTTTCCCTTCAAACTGACCCAACAAAGAGGGTTGCCGTCAAACCGACACCCAAACCTGTTTTCCCTTGAAGTCTCCTCTGTGCCGTTTCAGCATGGACCAAGAAGGGATCCTTCTTCCACGCGACCGATGCTGTTTGAGCAACCATGGGCTGGATGCTGTTTGAGCAACCTCCAATCAGGGGGTTGGATATTTTTTCACTTGAATAGCAGCCCCCTCCCCCTCCCCAAACCTCCCTAAACATTGACAGCCCCCGGATTTGACGGATTCCAAAGTATGAGGATTTCGATCCATCAGTGCTGAAAATCAGCAGTACCCTCCCACCAATTACCGTGGAAGCTGACGGGGTGCTTTTGAAGGTTCCAGGCTTGCTTCACTTCTTTTGGGAGGTCCATTTTGAGGCCACTTGGCCAGACATGTGTGTCTCAAAATATTGGACCCCTAAAAATGGATGTCCTTAGGGTGTGGTTTCTCTTTCAATCACCAGAAAAGGATACCTCAACTCAAAAGGCCGCCTTCATGGCTTTGCCTGGGAGGCTTCCTGGAGCGGTTCCGGTCCGGGCTCCCCGCGCAGCTGCCGGAGGAGATGCCAACTGCCTGCGGGGGCGCCGCGCTGTTGCAGCACCGTGGCATGAGGGGCCAGGTGGCCAGGGTTCCTTATGTCTTTTCCTGGGGCATTCCCACGATCAGCATTTGGGCCAGCTTAAAGTGAGGTGATGTTTAAGGGGAAATATATATATATATATAGAGAGAGAGAGAGGTCTTGGCGGGGCGTAACCTAAACTGTAATGGTCTTTGGTTTTCCTTTGGATTCCTTTGCTAGACAAAATGCAAATACAAAGCAAAGTCGGGGAACCCCCGCAATTGATGGTTGCTCTTTGGTTCCATTTGAAGCAATCCTACAAACGGTACCCTCAAGACACGAAGACACTCAAATGGGCTTCGGTTTCCCTTTGGAGTCCTCAAACTCGGGAAGAAAGGTGCTGTCACTGGGATTTCACACGTTTTTGTAGCCCGGGTCTTCCATCGTGGCCACAAAGTTGCTAGCAGGTAAACAGCTAAGACTGGGCTTGGACTAGGCCCATTTTGCCACGGTTGGAACAAGGGACGCAAGGTCATCAAGCCTGAGCTTGCAGTTCTTCTGGGCGATGCTCGCCTTAGAATCCCATGGATTTGGGCAAATGATAGCCACCTCGGGGGGGGTGGGGGGTAAGGACCTCAAGTGGCTTTTGCTGGGTACCTCCTTTTTGGAGCAAAGGCCGGCCTCCGCGAAAGCGAAATAGGTTCTTAAAAGCAGGGTTTACTGCGTCTGTTTTGTCGGCCCCACTCATGGACGTGGAAGCAATCTTCAATTTTCAACTTAGGTTGAAGTGTCGCTTTTACGTGGAGCCGTCCCAAACTTGGATGGCTTTCACATGGAACCAAGAAGAAACGAGTCATTTAGGGGTGTTGATGTGTTAAATGCGAACCAAAAGGGTTCCGCCCAGGTGGGGGGTTCCACTTCTGATTGAAAACGCCAAGGGCGGTGGAAGTGCCGAAGCTGTGCGACTACCTCGGCCCCTTCGAGGCGCGGAACTCTTTCTTTGGCATCCCAGTCAAATCTCACTGGCAACCCAAGTTGTTGCTTTTTTTGGCTTGAGGTGGGGACAGATACCCTGTGCACGAGTTCTGGCACACCTTTGCTTTGCGATAGATCTGTGCGGCGCAGGTGCTTGGTGGCGCGGTGGTCACAGCCTACGCCATCATTGCAGGCGTGTTTGCTTTCGGACCATGTGCGCGGGTTCTCATTTGAAAACATGGTGCATACACGCCAAACAACAACAGGGATGCAAAGGGCGCATGAAGTGTGAAACTCAAGGGACAAAGAACCGAACCTGCTTGGGTAATCCCAGGCCAAAGGTTCAGAGAATGCCATAGAACCGCAGAGCATCCAGCGCAGGTCATTTGGAGTCTGTGGCGTCCAGCCTGCTGCTGCCCAAAGAGCTACCGCCCAGCCAGGAGGATCTCAGCTTCCAGGCCCCGGCGCAGGCGCGGAATGGAACACAAATCGCCGGAGCCGTTCGCCGGAGGTTTGGGGCAGCTCTGGCTGAAATGAAACATGTGTGTGTTGTCTTTTGGTTTGAGGGTAGCCCTTGTTTCTCCCTTGGTTTCAAGGGAAACCTGAAGGAACACCAGCCATGTGTTTGGTGGCAAAAACCGACTCAAAGACCGACTCTTTGCCCTCCCATCCACAAGCAGAGGGTTCCATTTTGGTGCGGGGTAACCCTTGAAGGAATACTTAAACTTAGAACCAAAGATTGGTTTTCCCAGGAAGCACCTTGAATCCAGGTGATCACTCACTCGTGATGGATAAAGCGGGGCGTAACCTATAGTGAGGCCTGGGATGACATTGCTTACTGAGATAATACGTTCCGAACCATTCTCAACGATGTTGACCAGTCTTTCTTTGTTTGTTCCGATTGCCTTGGTGTGTGTCGCAGTCTGTTTGTTCTGCCTTTTTTGCTGCAAGAGTGTACAAGAATGTTTCGCAGCCATTCAGAAGGTCACCTAGGGCGGAAAACGAGTTCGGGGTCTCTTACTTGGAAATTTCCAGGACGAATCCAATGTGCCAGCCAACAAAGAATCGAGCTCGTTATACTTTTTTCTGGGCTCATGTTTTCCTGCAAAGCACAGGGCTGTTCTACGACCAGCAAACTATGTGTGTTGTTGACTGCTTGCCGCCCAGTTTTCGTATTCCACCTTTGTCTTCCAGACTCCTTGCTAGCCACAGTTATTTTCGCGTTTGCCACCATTTGGGACCATGGCCATGCCACTTTTTAGCTCGTGCAGGGTCACTCATTTCCTGAGGCCCCGCTGCGGACTCGGATTAGGCATCCCCACCACTGCATGTTGAAAAAGCCCCAGTTTGGCTAATTTGAAAGCAAAGGGAAGAATGAATCCAAAGAGCTGGGGATGATGTGTTCAGTTTATCCCCAGGAAACAGCAAAACAGGGGATAGGTATGTTTCTGGCATTCCAGATTCAAGATTCTAGACTCCCTATTTAGCACCCAGGGTTTTATCGCGCTCTTGTTGGCACAGGTGGACGGTAGCGCAATGACCATCAGCGAAGAGCAGGTCCAGGCACCGGTAAGGTGGTTCTCGTGTCTTATTTTTTGGGGGTGTGCTTGCAGGGGGGAAGCAAATATGGAACAGCATCATTTTGACATATGCCCTTACAATTGGAATCGGCCCCGATTGGTTTCTAGAAGGCCACTATCATGATCTTTGCCTTGCCACCATGTCGCAAATATACCAGAATGTTGGCAACTTTGACCCTCTAAGTCATTCAGGTTTAATTCTTGGGGAACCCTTCTAGTCGGTGACGCATGTTTGGTCCAGGCAGTTTTGCTTGCATCATTGCACCGCAGGCCCTTTCAGGGCCATTTGCGCCTCCAGATGAGCAACAGTCGAATCCGGTTGTGCTGCACCGGATCAGGTGGTTTATCAGATCTCAGGTGACCTTCATTAAAATCACACTCGCCACGCCTATAGTTGTCCCGCCAAGTTCAGGGGCGCGGCCTTGAAAAGGTGTGAGCGGAAAAGTGGAGGGGGGGGGGAGGCGGGGGCGACCCCATGGGCTTGGTGGCAGGTGCTGCCCTCTACTGCCACCTCCATGACTTTCTCTGCACCTTGGCACATCTGTACTTTGCACATATATATATATACATACACGTATAAGTAAATATATATACACACATGTGTGTGTCGTCCAAGCAAGTTTCTCCACTCTGAAAGGGGATCACATCCCGGACCGTTCCCGCCCGAGTGCATTGGATTCTCCTGGGGCAATTGACTTCCGAATTGGCCTTGAACTTTTTGTGCTCCGGGGAGGCAAGTTCAAACTTCCTTCTGCTCACCCTGTCAGGAACTGAGTTGGCCTTTCCTTTTTTGGGGTCGGCGGTGATGGACGCCTTGTGACCTTGTTGTTCCCCAGTTTGATCCACATTGTTGCCAAGGTCCCAGAAGGTCAACCAGGTCCTTTGTGCCAGCCTGTGGAATCTTCTCCCCTGGTTCCCAGCTAGATACTTCAAGTGACACTCTTAAAGCCACTTTTGGCATTTTATCTCGTTTAGCTGGTGGTAGAAAACTCCCGCAGCCCAGGAGCCTATTGTTAATAACAATATTCCTCTTCACATAAGGGACTTTGGCTTAGTGAGCTTGCCAAGTCCAGTTGTCGGCCGATGACTGCGAAGTGCCAGCCCGCTGGTTCCACACTTTGGTGTTTTTTTCTGAAATATGCTGACAAGCTGACGCCTGCGATACTTTTAGTCTCCAACTTCTGAATTGCAAAGGTTACGCGACCGTCAAGGCTACGGGAACAGGATTTTGCACTTTTACTGTCACTCCAAGAATCATGGAAGCTGACAGCAGGCTTTGGAATAAACTGCCTACCAATTGCTGCAGGAGTTTGTCCAGCCACAGCATTCGTTCTTCAGCCCTTGCATTCCTTACCAACACCTTTGCCTCAGGTGGGCCACCCAGATGCAGAGCGCCAGAGTTGCGTGCTCGCAACACCCTACGGCCCCTCGGCAGATCAGAGATCCGCACCTACGTCGGGCTGGACTTTGCTACAGACGGTGTTGCATACACATACATACACATACATACATACATACATACATACATACATACATACATACATACATACATACATACATACATACATACATACATACATACATACATACATACATACATACATACATACATATTCATACATACATTCATACATATTCATACATATTCATACATATTCATACATATTCATACATACATACATACATACATATACATACATACATACATACATACATACATACATACATACATACATACATACATACATACATACATACATACATACATACATACATACATACATACATACATACATACATACATACATACATACATACATACATACATACATACATACATACATACATACATACATACATACATACATACATACATACATACATACATACATACATACATACATACATACATACATACATACATACATACATACATACATACATACATACATACATACATACATACATACATACATACATACATACATACATACATACATACATACATACATACATACATACATACATACATACATACATACATACATACATACATACATACATACATACATACATACATACATACATACATACATACATACATACATACATACATACATACATACATACATACATACATACATACATACATACATACATACATACATACATACCTACGTACGTACGTACGTACGTACGTACGTACATACAGAATCATACATACATGCGTACATACATGCGTACATACATACATACATACATACGTACGTACGTACGTACGTACGTACGTACATACATACATACATACACACATACATACCCACACACACAAACATGCATGCATGCATGCATGCATGCATGCATGCATGCATGCATGCATGCATGCATACATACATTCATACACACATACCCCTACCCTGCTAATTAAAGGGCGCATGAGGGTAGCAAACCCCTTTTTAGGGCCCTCCGTGCTCTTTGTTTCGTGCGAGCTGCAAAATCCCAACATGCGCTAAGTAATGTATGGAAGGTTCGTCATGAAGCCTTCCGAATGGTGTGTTCGTTTGTGGGTACGAGCGACATCACGGAGGGGGCCTTGCGTTTATCCCCGCTGGCGGATGACCACAGGGGTTCCAGAGTTGCAAACCAAGAATTGAACAAATGGGTAGTCAATTGTTATTTTGAATGTTGTTGGGACATAGGGGGGGTTCGACCCGAATTTTCCATCTTTGATGGAACACACAATCATCTTGTATCGACTCGATCATGGCTCAGTTCGCAGCCAGACATCGCCGAACCAACGCGTCCTAGCATATTCAGTGGGTTGCTTCTCAAGAAGGAAACTCCCTAGTCATAGAGTTGGGAGGTATCAGGGGATTCCTTCGGATGGACACAATTTGCACAAAACAGACCAGACAACCACGTTGGTAAAGATTCTAGGGGCTCACATTGATCAGAGCTCAACATCGCAAAAGTGCTCCATATAAGAAGAAAGCATCACCCGACGGACTGTGTTGAGCATTGGAGCACAACGGGGCGTCAAATGCTGAATGTATGAACCTGTATATGAACCCTTGGTATGCACCGCATTTTTTTGGGGGGGGCTTACTCATCTTTAAGTCGTTCTGGGTGAATTCGGGGAAACTCAGCTTCAACAGTCCAACCAAGCAGTATGGCGGAAGCAGCAAATTGTGTTTTCGTTTTTGTGCATTGGGTGGTACCCACCCAGGGTTGCTTTGGTCGGCCATCCCTGCAAGAAGCACACAGACACGCACACAGAGAACGAAAGAGCATCAACATCAAATAATATCTGCCAATTTTGAACAGCTCGAAACCGGAGGCCATCTTGCAGATGTCAATAGCCCTTGTGGCAATTGTCCGCTGTGTTTAACATTCCCTCAATTCAAGACAAAACACATGTTGGGTCAGAAAGTCCTCAGAGGTCCTGTGAGTTTATACTCGTCCAAGCATGGAGTTTGAATGGAACCAACGGCCCGCCAACGGGACAACATTTTCGGGGATCCGCAAAGTGGAATCAATTCGGCAACCCCCTCTCCCCAGAAACAGTCTTTGTTATTGTAAGCAATGTACATTTTTTGTAGTGCAGCCTCCTACTCCTCCAAAGTATGTGTTGATTTCTTTGAATGGTCAACATCTCAAAAAGTTTACCTTCAAAAATGGACACGCTCACATGAAATCTAGGGTTTTGAAAGACTTCGTAAAAAGGTGCCGGTCCACTTTCATGATTGGGGAAAGGGTGGTGACTACGAGAAACGACCAGCCCGCCGATGTCTTTGCGACAGGCGCCAGCCCGGCAACGTTGCACGCCTGCAGCTGGCTGTTCTACAACGGCCCTCGGAAGCTCTACTTGGAGAACCTCATGCGCGAGGCTCTTCGCTCGGGGAAGAGCAGAGCCGCAACCAACCAACCAACCAACCCATCAACCAACCAGCCAACCAGCCAGCCAGCCAACCAACCAGCCAGCCAGCCAACCAACCAACCAACCAACCCATGAACTAGCCAGCTGACTCGATGTTGGGCATAAATGAAGATTAGCAGGAGCCGCTGGATGAAAAGTCACAACATGGAAGAACCTGTGAGCCATCAACCTGGATTTAGATGAAGCACACGACGGTCGCTACCAGAAATGGGCGTTGTTGTCCTATTGATGGTTGCAGTTTGGGCTAGACTCGTTGAATACCACGGTTTGATTCTGACCTAGAGGGGGATGTTTCAAAATAGGGACCACTCCTCCAGGTGGCAACTCCTTGCCTGCTGGGGTGTGCCTTTAAAAACTCTCGATAGGGGATCTGTCGAAGGCGAAGTCAGCAACAGTCAACGGTGGGCTCACTTTGCTACTACGTTTGTTTACAAGGAGGAATCTCTTTTTGGGCAACCCCTTTCCGGATCATTTTGTGGGTTTCATGCACTTGCAGGGGAGTAGCGTGTCAGAACCGTGAAATACACATTTTGTGGAAGTTGGTCGTCATTATCTATGGATTCTTAGGCAATTGGCGTCCTTGCTTGTTTGGTGCCTCCAGTGTTGGTCCCTTGAAGGCACCGGAGCACACAGCTGAGAGGGTGTTTGTCCTAAAATATGGGCTTATGGTTCTTAACAATCATGATCCAGAAGAGAGGGCCTGAACATTCGCTATGCCATTTTAGCCTCACAGTGGGTTTAGCCCTAGCAGGTCTTCCATACAGGGGTCTTGTGACACGTAGCCAGATGGCCAATGGCCTGGCTGATGTCCAAGTGTTGTACTCGGAGATGTCCAATGTGTTTCTTTCACCAAGTGGCACTTTGGTTTGTTGCCTGTTTGTGGCATCTTCGACCGCCGCTTTGATGGAGTTATTCTCTCAAAGGTGCATTTGTTGTTTCCCCAGTTTGGGTTGGGTGGCTAGAGGCGAATGTTTGCTCTGGAAGTACTGTTCCAGCTGTTTCAGAGAAACTGACAGGATGGTCGACTGAAACACAAGTAGCCAGTGATGTTGAACAAACATCGTGAACATGTTAACCAACAAAGATTAAGTGATGCTGATGCAATGTTTGAGATCGAAAAGTCAAACATGCGAACCCAAAGCGGCCTGTTTTGTTGGCTACCTGTGTCTTTCGTATCGCTCTCGAGAGGCTGGCCTGGAAGTGTCGGCCGCAGTGTCCCTGAATGTCACAGTGCTTACAACTGTGAGGCCCGGCAAGTTGATAGTTGGTTTGGTGAATGGGACCCAGTGAATCCACGTACCCCTGTACAGTCGGTAACCGGGCAGAAGTAGCTGGATCCACTGGAGGAAGCACCTGCAAAAGTAGGTTGACGGACATAAATAGATGTCGACGAAGGGTCCCCAGTGCAAACCCAGTTGGGCAGGTTATTTGGACGGCAGGGCAGGCGAACAGGAGACGTGCGTCGTTGATTGTGAGAATTGGCACTTGCATCTCCATCCCATTTCCAATGGGGGCAATCTCGTATTTGTCCTGAGGTTCTGCAGTCTAGTCCTTGGCTGCGTTGCGTCGCCAATGCGGTTTGAGCCTCGAACATCTAGAAGTATTGTCGGTTCTGCACCTTGAGGCACTACGCTGGACAACTTGCTAACTCATTTTACGTCTCAAAGAGGAAATGCCCAAGCACACCATAAACTCACCTAAACCGACTGTAAACCCACTGTGAATTGGCCCCCAAGCCAAACATCAGCTTACCCTAAATGAACCTTAAACCACCCGGGTGTCACATGCAAGTTGTTTTGCTGTCATACATGACTGGCTGTTTTGCTTGGTTGGCGGAGGGTGATAAAGTGGCTAGGCTGAGAATGAATCTTGATACGTAGTGTTTTTGTTCATGCCCAATATGCGCTGGATACCATTTTTTTCAGTGGTTGATAACAAATTAATACAGTTGTTTTGGTACTCTCCTGTAGCTAGCTCAACATGTAACGCAAACGACATCATCTTTATAGTAATCCTTGTGAGCCCCTTCAAGGTCAACGTTATTTGCAAGGGAGTTCCTGACCCTGTGATTTGGTGTCCTACCTAGTAATTGGCTCAACTGTGTGATTTCTTTGACTCACGAAACCGGGGAAAAGGGAGATTCCTCTAAAAGCAATTCTTGGGGTCTCATGTCAATCTGCAGTCTGGCTTGTTGGCTTTGTGAGGCGGCCCGGGTACCTGTGGTCCTACCCCATCGCCAGCAGCTTTCTTTGGCTTCGGGAGCAGACGCCGGTGCCGCAGGTGGTTCAGGCCTGCGTGATGCAAACAATGCATTGATGGGGTGCGATCAAAAGCACGCATAAGTTTAATCTGCCCAAAGGGAAGACAACATGGGATGGATAGTTGATCCAAATTGGTGGTCACTACCGTTTCTCCAGCCATCATGGAAGCGGACAAGGGGCCTTTTCAAGAGGCAATCTTCCAAAACCCTCCTGTGCAGTTGAATAATTGTTTCTATAAAGAGGGCAATTGTGATTTACCCAAAGGGACACCAAAAGGGGATGGGTCAATTTGTCCCACCTTTTCACGTCCCAGATCGGTGGCTTGGTGGTTTGGTGGATTGGCGGTTTGCGGGAACGGTTGATCTGCGTAAATTGGCGGATTCGCTGATTTGCATGGTGGTTTTAGCTGTTTGGTGCATTATTTGGTGGGCTTGGATCATTTGTGCGGCTTGCTTGACTTGGAAAATGTGCTTAGATCTCGAGTTCCTTGATCATGATGGCGCTAGCTGAGGATTCCATGGCAGTTCTCCTCAGCGCCACCATAACAGCCGTCATAGGAAGGACTTTTGTTTCACGGCACAAGTTTAATTTGGAACCTGCCCCCCGATCCTCCAACACCGTGGATGGAGATGTGGACTTGTCGTTTCAGGGTTCCCTTTTCGGGTTGGTCTGAGCAGACACCCGTCAGGGTTCCCCTATTCAGAGACAAACCTACAAAGTACAGGTGGATGGATGTGTGACACTGTTGAGGCCGCAGTGATGATTGTCTTAATAATATGTGTATATATATAGTATGTGTATATATATATATAAATATGCTGCCCCCCTTGAAATACTCAGGTTTTTGGCCAGAACTGAGGTTTTTGGCCAGACAGGGGGTGACACATGCCCTGAGACTCTGAAATGAACTGACTGGACGCGCAACTCCATGCACATTCCAACCAAGCAGAAGTTAAGCTCAACGTTGAATAGGAGTTGTGTGACCGTCACATTGGCATGCGCGAAGTTCACTTAAAGTCACATTGTAGTATGCAAAGTGCACTTTGGCAGCTCCAGCTCAGAAAGCACAACTTTTCAGCACAATACTAGTGCGCGAAGTATGCTTTGGCAGCTTCAACGCGCCTGTAGCAGCTCTATCATTTGGTTTTTATTATTTTTGCTTGGCAGCGAAATTCAGCAACTTGGGGAAAAGGAATGTATTCCTATTTCATGTTCTTGCGCAGTTGCATTTACATGTTAACTCAAGTGTTGTGCACATTTCCATGTACATGCTAACTCAGTCTATTTGAAACCTATTTTACAATTCAACTATCTCAGTTGTGTGTTGCTTGTCTAAGTTGATTCAATCATCGCCAATAACAACTATTGAAATTCAAGACTTTCCAGATTAAAACGCTTTCGAGTTCAAACCAAATTCAATTTTAATTGTTTGCCGTTTCTTGCGCAGTTCAAAAAACAACTGGGGAAGATAGCTATTGTCAAAGCCAAATCAACTTGGAATCAAACTCAATTTTGAAAGGGTTATTGTCCTTCTCGAACTCCATGTGGTTTGAACCAAGCAAGAACTGAGCCAAGCCAATGACAGAAAAATATGTTCAATCATAGATCTCATTCTTGGCAGAAATGCTGTAAAACGCCGTGTTTTGCTGCATTTGCTCAGATCGCGTTGCCCTGGATCGAAAATCGAATATACAAAATTCCACAAACATATTTTTAGAACATCCTCAATCCTGCCCCCCAAAAGCTTGACAGTTTGTTCTAGACTCATTAAGGATCTGCCCCTGCATTGAAGATTGAAGATCTACCAGATTTTGTATTTGAGAATCTTCCATCCTGACCAGCCCGCAAGTCCACAAAATACCTGAAAGGTGTCAACAACAAAAAATCCCCGTGGCCAAATGCAGCAGTGCAGGTGCACATCCACAATTTGATTCTGACAACGTGCGCTCCCGGTCTGCCTTTTGGGTTCTTCAAATCCGCACCTAGGGCAATCCGGGATCTGGATTGAAGATTGAAGATTCTCTGACAACTCTTTCTGGAGTTCTTCAAATATGTACTTAGGCAATCCAGGATGTGCTAGCACGTGATTGAAGATTGAAGATTCTCAGACCACTTGTTCTGGGAATCTTCAATCCATCCTTAGGACAAACTAATATGTGCTAGCACGTGCTAGCACATCCTGGATTGAAGGTTGAAGATTGAAGAATCCCAGAAAGAGTTGTCAGAGAATCTTCAATCTTCAATCTTCGGCTAGCACGTGCTAGCACATGCGCACCCTGGATTGCCCTAAGTACAGATTTGACGATTTCCAGAAAGAATTATCAGAAAGCTTCAATCTTCAATCGTCAATCCAGGATGTGCTGGCACGTGCTAGCACATCCTGGATTGCACAAAGTAGCGATGCTAGAATTTAAGTAAAGCAGAAGAGTGCATTTTTAGAGCCTCATTTTTCCAGCTGAAACGTGTCTTTTACATGCAATTTTACAGCCAACATGTCAATTTCTGCCAGAAATCCTGAGTATTCCAGGGGGGTACCATATATATATATGTGTGAGAGACCTCTAGGTAATATTTGTCCCTGCTGGCTGGCAAGCCAAGAATTCCAGGAGCTCCAGGAATTCCAGAGACAAACCCTTGGAATTCTTAGATTTTTGGAATTCTTAAAATCCTAGAATTAATTCTAAGAAATCTAGTAATTCCAGCTGGAATTATTCCACTTTTTAGAATCAATACTAATAGTTCCATTTGGAACCATTAGAATTTACAGAATGAATTCCAAGATTTGAATTATTCCAATAGGACTTTTTAGAATTCGTAGATTTTTCCATAAATTGGAATAACTCCAATAGGAATTATTAGAATAAAAAAATTGTTAGAATTCTTGCAATTCTTGCCTGGCCAGCATTCCCTTGCAATTCTGTTTCTGTTTTTTTTGGAATTCTTAGAATCCTAGAATCAATTCTAAGAACTCTAATCATTCCAATTGGAATTATTCCAATTCCTAGAATTAATTCTAAGATTTCTAATAATTTTAATTGGAATTATTCCAAATCTTAGAATAAACTCTAAGATTTCCAATAATTCCAATTGGAAATTCTAGGAATTGGAATGATTCCAATTGGAATTATTGGACATCTTAGAGTTATTGGAAAATCCTTGCCTGGCCAGCATTCCCTGGCAATTCTGTTTCTGGAATGTTTGGAATTCTTAGAATCCTAGAATTAATTCTAAGAATTCCAATACCAGGAGCCTCAAAACCGATGAAAATGTCATACCTACAAAAAACACGATGTTTTTTGGGAAAACACGATGTTTTCGGGAAACACGGCATTTTCGATTTCAAGCATTTTCCCATACATTCCTTCAACTCGTCATCCGTTCTCAAAAGATCTCAAAAGCATCATCTCAACCTCAGAATCTCCCATTGCCCTCCCCTTTTGCGCTCGTAACGAAATCAGCTTCGCATTCGCCACTCGTCTTTCGCAACTCCAATCTGAAAGAAGGAGGCCGGGGACCCAAATAGTCAAAAGTACCACGGTTTTATGACACTTGTCAAGCAGCAATGCCACGTGCTGGCTTCGAACAGCGCGCAAGCTGAAGCAAAGACTTTTGCTCACGACTTCGTTGTTTTCCGGCAACGATCTCGAATTAGCGCATTCGTGGTTGAACCCGAAAAACCCATAGAATTTCCACGGTTTGCCACACTTTACTACGGGTTTTCCACGGTTTAGCTACGGGTTAGAAAACACGATGTTTTCCAAAAACACGATGTTTTCGGTTGGGGCTGCGGGTTTTCTATGGGTTTCTACAGGTTTTCTCTGGGCTTCTACGGGTTTTCTACGGTTTTTCCGGTTAGCCGCCAGGATCCCGCCCCGTTTTCCAAAAACAACTCAAAAATCATAAAAACAATCTCAAAAGGTGTCACCTGGTCTTGTTTTGCATTAAAAGGAGCTTTGGGATTCCAGCACCCCCTTCAAACTGGTTCGGTATGACCTGGCCCTAGTCTTCAGGTGCCTGTTGCTGTGAAGGGTACTTAAAAACTGAAGCCAGCTGCACACCCTGGCTCTCAGGCTCATCAATGTGGTCCTTAGAATTTGAAGCATACTCAGCATAGAGCGTTGCCCTCAGTTGAAATCTTAATGGGTGATGCCTGTGTGACTTCCACTCCCGACCCTTGCCTTTGACCAAATGAGTGTTTGGCCTCAGAAGCCAATTTTAAAGGGTTTTATCAAAAACAATGTTTTTCCTGAAAACACGATGTTTTTAGAAAATCGAGCAAAAACAAAATGTTTCAGTCAGGGTACGACATTTTTTCAGGTTCTTGAAGCCCTAGGTAATTCCAATTGGAATTATTCCAAATCCTAGAATTAACTAAGATTTCTAATAATTCCAATAATTCCTAAAACTAATTCTAAGAATTCTAACAATTTCAATTGGAATTATTCCAATTTTATTGGAAAATCCTTGCCTGGCCAGCATTCCCTGGCAATTCTGTTTCTGGAATTTTTGGAATTCTTAGAATCCTAGAATCAATTCCAAGAATTGTAATAATTCCATGGAATTATTCCAAATCTGAGAATTAGTTCTAAGAATTCCAATAATTCCAATTGGAATTATTCCAATTAATAGAAATATTGGAAAATCCTTGCCTGGCCAGCATTCCCTGGCAATTCTGTTTCTGGAATTTTTGGAATTCTTAGAATCCTAGAATTAATTCTAAGAATTCTAATAATTCAAATTGGAATTATTCCAATGCCTCATAATTCCAATTAAAAATTATTCTAATTGTTAGAATTATTCTAAGAATTCTAATAATTCCAATGGGAATTATTCTAATTCCTAGAATTAATTCTAAGAATTCTAATAATTCCAATTGGAATTATTCAAATTCTTAGAATTATTGGAAAATCCTTGCCTGGCCAGCATTCCCTGGCAATTCAGTTTCTGGAATTTTTGGAATTCTTAGAATCCTAGAATTTAATTCTAAGAATTCTAAGAATTCCAATGGGAATTATTCAAATTCCTAGA